TCTGGAATGATAGTATGGGGAATAGCCAGTTGATGGGAATGCATAATTTTGATAGAGTGGAGTCTGCTTTGCACTCTGAGTTGGAAGCACTGCGGTGGGCAATGGTGAGCATGCTTCAACATTCGCCATGTCAGAGCTTTGGGATGGACTGTAAGTAAATGATATCAATGCTCAGGAATCCACAGGACTGGCAAGCTTCTCAACGGCACTGGAAAAGCTCACGACGTTGCGGATTTGCTTTCCAGATTTTAAGCTTTTCTATGTACCTAGGACACATAACGGGTTTTCTGATTCCCTAGCTAAGACTGCTCGATCTTTCTATCGAGAACTGGTGTATGTTGGTTGTTCTATTCCGGTCTGGATCCCAGACCACCTCAAGCTTGAGTAATAGATCAGCCGTTCGTTGTCTAAAACAAAAAAAAATACTCAATTGAGCTAATATTTCTATATGGTATCAGAGCTGTGATACCCAAAGGACCTCAGTTTTTTTTTTCGTTGACGATCGATCCTAAAAGTTCACTCTCCTAGCTAAAACAACCACACTGCAAATTCCCACTACCTTAAGCTAGGCCATGCGAGATAAGAATTGGAGACGTTCCATGAGTGCTCAAATTGCTAATCATACCTTTGAATTGGTGCCACCAGATCCAACACAACTTGTGATTGGTTCTCGGTGGATACATACGATAAAATATCTTGCTAATGGTAAAATTGACAGGTATAAGTCTTGATGGGTGGCTTGTGGTTACACATAACAATATGGACTCGACTACGCTGAGACGTTTAGTCATGTCGTCAGGTCTATTACCATTCGACTGGTCTTACATCTGGTTGTCACACGGGCTTGGCCTATCAAACAACTTAATGTCAACAATGCGTTCGTACAAGGGAATCTTTCTGAAGAAGTATATGTCTCATAGCCACCAGGGTTCGCCGATCCAAACCGTCCACACCATGTATGCCGGTTGAAGAAAGATTTGAATAGTCTTAAACAAACTCCCACGGGGGTGGTATCAAGAACTCAAGACTTTCTTGTGTCAAATGGGGGTGCCACAACTCCACGGCAGACACATTGGTTTTTATCTACCTTTGTAATTCTCATGTCCTCTACATTTTTGTCTACGTTGATAACATAATTATCACTGGAAGCAGCTCCACTGTGGTGTCAGGATGTATCAATGTCATCGGACTTACACTATTTCTTAGGCATTGAGGTCACGCACATAAGGTCTGGTTTTCATATGATGCAGAGAAAGTTTCTAATTGATTTCTTAATGAAGATGCATATGCTAGATGCCAAGCCGGTCACGAGACCACATGCTACGATGCCCAAGCTCTCTATCATGTCTGATTATCCTCTCGACGATCCAAAATAATAAATGATGCTTTTTGGGAGTCTTCAGTATTTAACATATACACGGCCTGACATTGCATACATCGACAATCCCCTCTCGCAGTTCATGCATCGTCCCACAGACATTCACTGGCAAGCTGCTAAGCACATCCTTTGATACCTTACATGGTCCTTGTCGCATGGAATATTTCTCAGCCGACAATCAACACTTCATCTTCATGCCTTCTCCGATGTGGAATGAGCTGGGCACACAGATGATTTTGTTTCCACTAATGCATACACCGTTTACCTTGGCTCGAGTCCTATTGACTGGCCTTCACCGAAGCAGAACGGAGTTGCGGTTTCCTCCACCGAGGCCGAGTACCAGTCTTTCACTAATACATCAGCTGAGTTTTTTTGGGTTTCTTCTCTTCTCCACGAGCTCAGAGTCACTTTACCAATCCAGTCTTTCACTCCAAGATTAAGCATTTAGCTCTTGACTTCCACTTCGTCCGCAACAACGTTCTGTTTGGGACACTTCACGTCTTCACGTCACACACGTATCGACGAGAGATCAACTAGCAGATGCATTGACTAAACCATTGGCAAGAGTAATATTTCAAGAACTTATGTCCAAGATTGGAGTGATAAAGCTTTCTCCATCTTGAGGAGGTGTGTAAAAGATAAGTAGATAAGGGTACTTTAGTCATTGTATAATCCCTAGAATACATCTTGTACACAGTATAAATATTGTATTATATATACAGTGAAACCTCTATAAATTAATAATGTTGGGACTTCACCAAAACTATATTTTTTTATTAATTTATCGATATAGTAAATGAACCAAAAACTTAATGATAGTTTGCAAATTCTATCCCATGAAAAAAAAACTCAGTTTAAAAAAAAAAAACTTTACATTACTGTATATAACCGAAAGTATCGCTTGTATATGTCCGCCTGAATATTAGGTCCAAGGGACCGAACTTCATCATATGAGTCATTTCTTAATGGTTGTAGTTCCAAGGTTGATATCACTGGTATAGTTTCTCCCGTCTTTACATGACAAATCTGCAATAAGTTTGACTTTGACATGTATCTGATTTCACGATAATTTTCGGATCCCACAACCAATGAAGTCCACATATTAGGTCCTATGTGCATATCAAATCTGGGAGATATGTTAAGGCCATCATAATTTCCATATGAGAACCCAGCCTTAATTAGATAGTTGATTCCCTTGTTTACTGTCAAATTATAACAGTTTGGGACACCATCCGGAAAATATCTCAGATCTTTCAACTGCTTGTAGGTATAGCTCTCATCATCCCCGACTTCACCACGCTTACCACTTTGGATAAAAGCCCTAAAATCGGCATCAGATGAGAATGTTAATCCGGTTAAAGGATCGGTATATGGATCACTAGGGGATAAACCACTGTCCAAACTGATAAATCCTGGTGATAACACAAAATTTTAGTGCAAACAATATTTTGTTCACCTTTTCAAAAAAAAACAATATTTTTTGTTCATTCAATAATATAGAAGGGAAATTGCACTCTTTAACGTCCAATTTTTTTTTTATAAGTAATTATATAAAGCTCAAGGAAAACAATAAGAAAAATACTGAAAAGGAGAAAAGGTTCAAACTGTAAACTAAAATCTCTGGGCTCTATAGCCTATATATAGCCTTCACGTAACTTGTATAATGACCATGTTCTTACAACTAGAAATAATTCGATCAATGAGCTCGACAAAACAGAATAACAACCATGGTTTACTTACTTATCATCCTTAATTCATGTGTCAAAAGTGAACATGAGACAATTAAAATATCAGAAAACTACCTTGTTGATCAGGCTGACCTTGAACAAGATGTATAATGGCAAAAGCCCCGAAGCTCCAAGCCAGTAACAGTTGACGATGATATTCCATATTCAAGTTATTTTACAAACTTTCGATACGAAAAAGTATATGAGAGAATTATTAACTGTTTTCCAATACGAAAACACATATGCCAATTTTTTTTATATATGCGTACAAGTTTTTTTTTTTGTTAACATAAATGCATACAAGTTGGTGTGGAAATAATTAGTCTGTACATGTTAGTCGCCCAGCACGTCTCACCTGGGTCTAACGAAAACATATACATTTATATTGGAATTTGGGAAGATGGAAAAACTATGCAAAACCTGCCAAGTTGATACTAAATCAAAGCACCTGACGGTATCTATGTAAAACCTGCCAAGATGATCTAATGTCAAAGCTCCATAACTATGCGATAAAAAAATACTAAACGATAATTCCCCGCCGAAGACTTCTACTTTATTACAACTAGGTATTTTCATATATTTAGTTGACCTTAATCATTATTGCTATAATTATATAGTAACGTAAAATTCTTGGTTTTGGAAAATACACTAGGATCAGCATTTACCTTGAGCGATACATGGCATAAATGTAACTATTAAACAGAATAAATTTTTACATTACTTCTATACTCAACAATACATTGATTTTGTAGTATCCTGGTTGAAATCCGAACATAGTCAAAACCAAATACCATAAAATATATTTTCTCTGTACTGAAAATTAGATATTTTATTTTTAAGTACAGCAGAATTTCTTGGTTGACAAATTGATGTTTTGATTTTTAATCAGAGATTATTAACTCAACTGGAAAAGATCCTAGTTATTGTGTTACAGGTTCCAAGTTTGTGAGACCGCTGAGACGAAACTAATACTCTATTGGTTTCAGAATATTTATCATTTAAAATTTAATTTTGTTATAAACTAAGTGTGGTTTTAGAGTTTCGAGACAAAATTTATTAGTTTTATATAATATTTATTTTTTTATTAATTGAAAAGTGGTTAGGTGAATATGTTATTGTGTTTTTATCTTGAAAATATATAAAATTAAATGTTTTTTTTGATCTGTAAAAGTTTAAAATAATAACTAAAGTGAAAAAGAATGAGTATTACATATTGTTATTCTGGGTCTCGGGATTAGAGCTTCAACCCGAACATCTTGTTAATTTTAATTTTCTTTAAATGTTTTTTCTTAGAATAAAATAACGTCTAATTCTTTGTGATACTATAAAAGCAAGATGCGACAAAATAATAAAGGATCAAAACTAATATTTCATTGACTTTTATTACAGGAGTACAACGTTTGGAGTTTAAATCCTATTTCTAACTGCATCTTGTATATGCCAAATATTTTGGATAGTCTCTCTAATTTCTAGGGTTCTAAGCTTGTTTGTATAGGAGATAGTTGTCTAGATTTTGGATATATTCGTCCTTATCCTAAGATATGGGAAAATTCACATTTGTCTATATGTTTTTTTAGCCTAATGGCAGGAAGAAATTTTTGATCCAGAGGCCGGAGATTACATGCGAAGATTGGCTTCTTGCTCCAATCCAGCATGATATTTATTTATTTGCCCAACATATTTTATACTCATAAACCGAAAAAAACCTGAAAATCCAAAATACCGGAAACGAACCAAACGGGTATTGAAGGTTCAGCCCTAATGGAATGTGTCAATGAAAGTACACAACTATGCATTATCTATCATTCGTGGTCGGATGAATTATTTTAAGATTTATTATTCATCCCTAAGTATATATGCGGTATTTATGATTTTCATACATTTCGCAGTTTTCAGGAAGGAAAGTCATTGCTTTGTTCTTGATTCCCACAGAAACATGAAAGTGAGAGACAACATGAAGAGTCATCTTCTGTTGGCCATCATTGGAACCTTTGGCGTTATGATTGGAGCCCAGACGCAAGAAGGTTCATCTTGTTCCTTTGATTTCTGAATCTTTCAATGGTTATACATCAACAAGGATCTTTCTTCTTTGTGTTTCAAAGAAAGAAGGATCTTTCTTCTTTATATTGATCAGTTTCGCATTTTTTCCTTTGATTTCTGAACAGGATTTATCAGTTTGGATTGCGGATTACCTCTTGATGAATCTCCTTACAATAATTCGTTTAATGGATTAACATTCACATCGGATTCCAATTTCATTCAGACAGGAAAAAATGGTAAAGTCGACAAAGATGTCTTCGACAGATTCGGGAAACAATATGGGACTATGAGATACTTTCCAGATGGAAAACGTAATTGTTATAGTCTCGATGTCAAGCGTGGCACGAACTATGACATTGTGGTTAGTTTCTTATATGGAAATTATGATGGTCGCAATCTTGAACCAAGTTTCGATCTCTATCTTGGTACCAACAAGTGGGCAAGAATAGATTTGGGAAGCAGGCCAAATGGTACAAGACATGAGATCATACACAAAACTAAGTCAAACTCTTTGGATATTTGTCTTGTTAAAACAGGAACAACCTTGCCAATGATTTCAGCAATAGAAATACGGCCACTGGGTAATGATATTTATCTTACAAAATCCGGTTCACTGGCGCTGTTTTTCCGGGACTACTTTAGCACTTCCGTTGAGGAAATAAGGTAAGTCAACTCCATTTGACGCATTCAATACTAGTAGTAAGTATTACTCCATATGAGTACTGAAAAAAGTTTTCTTTTCTATTAATTTTTTTACTCGTGTATTTACAAATTACTGTGTTGTCCCAAGCTATGCAGACGGATAGTAGTCAAATTTGAACAAAATCAGATATGTTAAACATTTTGATTTCATACGGTATTGCTTAATTAAATGGCAAAATTAAATAGTAATTTTTGAAACACTTTGTTTTTTAAATACACAAAATTAAATAGTATATAAAAATAATTTACTACTAAAAACGAAATTTTACTACTAAAAAGAAAATTTCAAACACGTCTTTCTTCTGTCGCATATTATCTGTCAGAAAATAAAGGTTCGACAGTTCAAATCCAAACAACACACAATCACATATGGCTAAGTCTTTACAAGCTAAAGTCAACTAATGTAGGAAAATAGAATTCGATGTGTTCAAAAAAAAAAAAAGAATTCGATAACAGATGTCTGGATTGTTTGCTAGCAAATAAAAAGGACATCTGTCATATATGGTATTGTAAACAAAAAAGAAGTAGTTGGTTGTCCCTTTTTCGGAGAGAGAATGTGAATGTCCTTATGACCAACATGAATCGAATCCAGGTGGTTTTCCGTATTGGGGCTGAAATTTCTTCGAGTAATCACTACTATATCAGTGCACGCCGGTTCATATATGATATTTTACTATTTTGTTTGTTAAGAACTATTTTTTTTTTTTTGAACACATCGTAAAGAATTATCTATTTTCTTAAAACAGAAGTACCAATAAAATATATTCCTTAATTTTTCAAGTTATTTACACAACAATGCCATTATATTTATTAATAATCCTAATTTTTAGTAATGTTGTCTTTTTCAGTTAATTTAATACATTTCTTAAATTGTTTATTAATTTTAAAAACAAAATCATTTCTGGATATCCCTAGATTTTCTCATATAACAGTTTATGCTACTGATTTTTTTTTCTTCTAAAAATATAGAAGTTTAAATATGAAAATATTAGAAGTGCATAATAACTATAATTTACATATTCAATCAAGTTGGACCATTTAATACCATATAGTCAACGTTTTTAAATACTGATTTCAGTTATCATTAATGCTTAAAAATGTCGTAATAAACAAGAATTTAATACATATATATATTTTAAAATTTTATATATATATATATAAAATAAATATATATATTTTCAAAAATGTAAAAGTAAACCCGCACGGATGTGCGGGTCAAGCTCTAGTCTAATCTATTAAAAAAGGAGTACAAAAAAAAAAATCCTTAATTTTCCTCAAAAATTACAATAGAATGCCACTAGAATTAAAATAGTGTAATTTTGTTCTTATATGGGTTTAAAAATAAGTTTACGATCCATTAATTTAAAATCAAAATCAAATTGCCCAAAATTAAATTGTCCAATTCAATTTTAAAATTAATTTTAAATCAAAATCAAATTTCCCAAACTAAATTTTCCAATTCAATTTTAAAAGTGGTATTTGTTAATAAAATTGCTAGAGATCTTGGTTTTGTTAATCTTTTTAATTGTTGTTGTCTAAATAATTACTTTTTTAAATAAACAATATCTACGAAATCTAATTTTAAATTATAATTTCAATCACAAAATTTATAGTATAATTTAATATAATACACACAATCTAAAACAATATTCTAATATTTTACATTTAATTATTTAGTTTATAAAGTAAAAAAAGTAAGATATAAAAAATACAACTTGATAGTTATAAAAAGACGCTAAACAAAATGAACAAGATACACCGATATCATAACTCAATAACCTATTAAACCTAAATATAAATAACTTTTATAATTAATACAAACATATATTTATACAGAACATACTTCCGCGCGGGCGCGCGGCTCAAAAGCTAGTTCTACTTAAGACTGATAACACTAATTTTTTATGGGCTCCTAAAACCTCTTATTATCCTTATCTCATAATTAATTTTTGATCAAAACTCAAACTCCCAAATCAAATTCTTCTCGGTATTCAAAACTAAACCCTAACCTTCCCCTTATGGATTAGTGAACCCTTGGGCAAATATTTAAGTTCGATACCTTTTAAATTTCAAAAAAAAATTATATTTTAAAATTGTTTTAATCATATTTTGATGATTTTTGCAAAAATATAAAAAAGGTTTTAGAATTTTTTTAATATTTTAATCAAATTCTATAAATCAAATAAAAAATATTCACGTTTCCAATTTAATTTTATAAATTTCCGTTTGACATATAAAATTAAAATAAGATATGCGTCAGATTAAAAAATGAAATATAAGAACACGAATATCTAGAAAACAAAACCGAATTAAGAGACAAATCAGTATCCCAAATTATCCGAAATAAAGTTTATACCTACAATAATTTATATTTAGTTTTAAATAATCTTATATTTAAAATTATAATTTATAAACCAGAAATTTATGTTTGTAAATATCTAATCTTTTCAAAAATTGAATTAACAAAAGACTAAATTACATGAATATCTTTATCTAAATTTTATACTATTTATCCGAACTACAAGATAGTCTAATTCGAATCATTCTTATTATCCGATATTTTACCCGAACAACCAATTTTATCCAATATTTTATTTGATTTATCCAAAATTACCCAAGTAAACTCAAACCAAACCAAATTTAGAATCGGACCCGAAATGGATCTTTTGCAGGTATCAGCTGGTTCCAGTTTTTTTTTTTACCAGAATCAAGCTGAAAACTGAAAAAAAAAAACGAGACCCAAAACAAACGGAATTCTCCAAATGCTAGAAAAGTTCCTATATCCTTTATATCCGAAAGAGCTGAAGACTAAAATATTCAAAATGTAAATCGAAAAGATAACCGAACAAAAGTATTGATCAATATTATACTACCTCTGTTTCAGTCTATTTGTTATTGTAGAGGATCTTTTTTGTTTTGAAATAAGTGTCATTTTATGATTTCAAGACAAAATTTATTAACTTTATTTGGTATTCTATTTTTCTATTGGTTAAAAATATAATTAGATGTATATGTAATTGTGTTTTTTTTTTATTTTGGAAATATATAAAATTAAATAATTTTTAATCTGTGTCCATAAATTTAAAACAATAACAAAAATAAAATGGAGAGAATATGCACTATTAATTGAATGAAAGTTGTGTTGCAAAAAAAAAGTATTTACCGAGCACGTGCGCACATATATATATATATACTTAATTATTTAAAATTTAAAAGATATTCATTTGACAAAAAAATTAGTAAGATTTCATCTGCTTAGATCCTTTTGGCTAATAACAATTTTCTTGCAGATATGCAGATGATATCTATGATCGTGTTTGGTATCCATTTTTTGACTCTCCATATAAGCAAATAACGACCAATCTCGATATAAACAACTCCGACACATATAAGGTACCAAAAACTGCACTCATGAGTGCTGCCACGCCTAAAAACGCAAGTGAGCCACTGCTCATCACCTGGACACCCAAACCCTCTAATGCTGAAGTGTACTTGTACATGCACTTCGCGGAGATTGAAGCCCTCGAAGCCACTCAGAAGAGGGAGTTCGATGTTATCTTGAAAGGAAACTTTAATCATTCAGGTTTTAGTCCACCCAAGTTAGAGCTATATACTTTATACACTGCTGAAGCAGTGCAATGTGATTCAGAAGGTTGCAATTTACAGCTAGTAAAAACTCCGAAGTCAACTCTTCCACCTCTGATTAACGCTATTGAGGTTTACACTGTTATTGAATTCCCACAAGTGGAAACAAGCCAAAGTGATGGTACCTCTCGTTTTAATTTTCAATTATTACAAGAAATTACCTCATATCGTTTCATATGATATGATACGTACATTCTCAAACATTTATGTTAGTTGCCGCTATCAAGAACATCAAAGCTACTTATCAACTGAGTAAAATCAGTTGGCAAGGAGATCCATGTCTCCCTCTAGATTTTTCCTGGGAAAATCTTAGATGCAACTACACCGATGCATCAACTCCACCAAGAATCACTTCTCTGTAAGACATTCACAAATATATTCTCTATTGAAAACTAAGATATCTAATGATTGTGTATGTGTTTTTGTGCTTGAATAATAAGAGATTTGTCGAATAGTGGATTAACTGGAAGCATAACCCAAACTTTACAGAATCTGACGCAATTACAAGAACTGTAAGTATCTCATTGATTTATTAAATCAATCATAATTTTTCCCGAAAACATATTTAAGCCACTTTCGTGTATTATGTATGCAACGGCAGTGACTTATCAAATAATAGCTTGACTGGATCAATACCTACCTTCCTTGCCAACATGAAATCGTTATCCTTAATGTAAGCTCTCTAGAAAGCAGAATGAATATTTTCTCCATGAATTTGCATTGGAATTTTATGTGTGTATACATACAATGGTCATCTTTGTCTCAACAGAAACTTAATTGGGAACAATCTCACCGGTTCAATTCCTCAAGCTCTTCTGGATAGAAGAAAAGAAGGACTTGTGTTAAAGTAAGATTTTTATTTCCATTAACGGTATGCATTTTACCAATCAAAGTCGGTTGAGTAATAAAAGGCTACAAGCGAAAAGTGGGTCGTTTTGATAATATGGTTCTGAGAGGATCAAGTCAGCAGATGTAATCTAACAACTCGGTTATGTTTATTAACAACTTCAATTGCATATTTTTTTGTAGACTTGAAGGAAATCCAGATTTGTGCACACTTAGTTCATGCAAACCAAAGGAGAAAACTAAATTCCTACTACCAGTAATTGCATCAGCTGCCTCTCTGCTTGTTGTAGTGGTTGTTGTGGCTCTTATTTTTGTTTTCCGAAAGAAGAAAGTACCTTTAGGTAAGTCCCCTACCATTGATCATTATAAGTTATATTGTAAAAAAAAATGGATTTAGTTGTACAACCAAACGATTTACCATGTAGATCTGAACACTCCAACAAGTATGACCATAACGGATGGTAGACAAGCTAGTCAGTCAGAATCATCCATCCTGTCGAAAAAGATTAGGTTTACTTATACTGAAGTTCAAGAAATGACAAATAACTTTGAAAAAGCTCTCGGTGAAGGAGGGTTTGGAGTCGTTTATCATGGTTGTGTTAATGGTAACCAACAAGTGGCTGTTAAATTGTTATCTCAATCATCATCTCAAGGCTATAAACATTTCAAGGCAGAGGTACTCATTTTTGACACTGATCTTATATGGAAATCCAACGATGTGTATATTTTGCATGAATATTAGCTAATAGATGATTGACTAGCTAGGTGGAACTGCTTATGAGGGTTCACCACATAAATTTGGTGAGTCTTGTTGGATATTGTGATGAAGGAAAAGACTTAGCCCTCATTTACGAGTACATGCCAAATGGAGACTTAAAGCAACACTTGTCAGGTAACTAAACATAAGCAGTCTCTTTCTTTTTTTGAAAAAAATGACGTCTTATAAGTTTTCTTTGAAACAAAGATCGTAGCTTGCAATATTTACCATTTATGTTTGAATATACAGGAAAGCCTGGGGGATTCAATTTGAGCTGGGAAAATAGACTAAAAATAGCTGTGGATGCAGCACTAGGTATGCAAAATGTTAATCTTTCCAAATTTGTGAAAATTACTTAGTTACCAATAGTAACCTTTAGTAGAATTAGTTTGTTTTTTTTCGTTCAATCAACGAGGAACCTTACGTTACCACTGATTTGTTCTAATTTTAATCCTCCAATATATATATGCAATGGAAACTACACCTAAGGCACTTTACGAATTATACTTAAATCAGTTATTTCATCATGCTACTAACTATTAAATTTCCATTTGTTATCAAGGATTGGAGTACTTACACACAGGATGCAAACCACCAATTGTTCATAGAGATATCAAATCCACGAACATACTTTTGGACCAAAATTTCCAAGCCAAACTAGCCGATTTCGGACTTTCGAGATCTTTTCCCACCGGAAATGAAACACATGTGTCAACAGTTGTTGCTGGCACTCCTGGATATCTTGATCCTGAGTGAGTTTTATTTCACATATATGCTAGTATCCAATTAAAGTTCCCCTTTTGATACAAAATAACGACAAACAATATTTAATGTTTTGTGTTCTATGTCACTATCTTCAGGTATTATCAGACGAATTGGTTGACAGAAAAGAGTGATATATACAGTTTTGGAATTGTATTGTTAGAGCTCATTACAAACTGTCCTATAATTCAACCATCCCGTGAAAAGCCTCACTTAGTAGATTGGATCAGCTTTATGATTACAAATGGAGATATTACAAACATTGTGGACCCACATCTCCACCAAAACTATGACATTGGTTCCGTCTGGAAGGCCATTGAAATAGCAATGTCATGTGTAAGTCCGTCTTCTGCAGGAAGACCAAACATGTCTCGAGTTGCTAATGATCTAAAAGAGTGTTTGATAGCTGAAGAGTCGAGGATAGGAGAGAGGCAGGACATGGAATCAAAAAGTTCTATGAACTACAGTAGGGACTCTTACACCGAGATGAGCCCTAAAGCTCGCTAGCTTACCAAAAACATCCTCGGGTTTTTTTTGTACCTTATCCTCGGGTTTCTTTGACCAAAAAGAATCTTTGAATATGTATGTGCTGTTTATGCTCCCCACTGCTTTCAATAATAACATGTGATACTGAAGTTGAACTATCTCAAGTTTCATGTTTGATGTATACATTGCCAAATATATCTGGTGACATTTTGTAGAGGGCTTAGGTTGAGTTGGTAGTGTTATTTCACTACAAAAGACTATAGTGATGGTGTAACATGCTGTATAGTACTTTCTAGGTTTTTTAGCTATTCGTTTTGGTTATTATAGTGTCTAAATATTGCATTTAGGTGTTGAGTATGTACATTTTGCATATACAGGGACTAGAATGCACAATAAAGAGTTATGGGGCAAAATGGAGGACAAATCTTACGAATTCGAAATTAGTAAATTATTTACATAATTTTAAAAGTTAAAGATCTTGTTAGAATCTTTTTCAAAGTATATTTTGTCATTCAAATAAAATGAAAAGATATCAAAAGATATTATGATTAAAGTAATTACAAATATCTTCTATATTAAAAGAGAAGTACTATTTATATCTACTACAAAAAGTCATATTGGACTATTTCATTAATATAACATATTTGATTATTTACATTAATCAACCAAATATATATTACTGAAGAAATATTTTAATAATATATAACTATAAAGTTATCTTTAATTTCATTTATAACAAAATCTGTTGAGAAAATATCTAACAAGATCTTACCAAGAAAGTTAAATATTTTTATAAAATATATATTATTTAATTTCGTGATTAATATATATATATATATATATATTAATGTTAATTAAAAATAAAAATTGGTATATTTTATAATTTAATGATTTTCTATATTATATTAAAATAAAATGCTATGTGAAATTAATATAAAAATTTATTAAATTGGTAAAGAAAATATTTTATTTTAAAATTTTCTTTTATTCAG